TTAAGCACTTTTTTTAATTTTTTTGTGCTTTTTAAAAATATTTTCATGCTTTTTTAGGCACTTTTTTTCCATTTTTTTGTGCTTTTTTATCCGGTCTTTAGTTATAATATATGTTATATATTAAGTTTATATAGAAAATTTAAATACACAGTTAAAAAAGGTACTTGCATTATATAAAATGACAGAAAGTAAATGCAAGTTGAATCATTGGTTTAATTTTATTTTCATAATTTCCACCGTGCAAGTGCACACCATTTATTGTAAATAAGTATTTCTTCATAATTGACGTCTTAATTTCTGAATGCAAAAAATGGTAATTTTAGATACAAAAGCGACCATCGTTTGTAAGAGAGATCTATTGAAATGTTGAATAGTTATACATAATGATTACTAACACTGAAAAATATACGTTAAACTATAGTACTTTATATGTCTTTATTTCCAATTGCACAACATAAATGAGACATATTTTCCTTACGTTATGCGAAATGGAATGCAGAAGATCCGTCGGGAGTGAATGTTCTACATGGTTCTCGACCCGTTGAGCCGAGATTCGGTTCCAAGCATGCCCTGGGCACTCTCACTTAAAAACGTAACCGAGAACGACTGATTTCATAGTCGCCAGAGGCGCTACAGACGATAAAAAGCTACAGATTAAATCATAAAAACAACCCACTGTAGGAAAATATTCTGTGGATGAATGCGATAACGCAAGTCAAATGCCAAATAAATCTTCCCCATTGTTGTTTATGGGTTTGTCATGGACAAGATGTCTGTCGATGTTGATTATTCGCTATCATCCAAAGAAAAAGCCTGTGCCCACTTTATTAATTTCTGACTATATAATCTGTGCTAAGTTGTATAATTTCGTGCCTCATGCTTCCTGCACATACTGGATTGTGATATGTTTCCCCATGTTCTCCAATGCGTAATTTGTGAATATTTTGTTGGGTAAGTCGAAATCACTTATCTTATTATTCAGGTGGCATTTTCATCAAGAAACAAATAAATGGAAAACAGGATATTTTTCTCATTAGAGCTAGGTCATAGCATCGGGTTGCTCACTGCTGAAACCGGTACTTAATACCTCTGTATTATATAGAATTACAGATTAATATTTAAACTGAAACCTCTGTTCAAAATGAATAATGATATTTTCATATTTTCAGATTATCTGTTTTCATAAATCGTCAATAATCTGCGAAGATGGTAGCTGTTTATTGGTGTCTTGAAGGCTGTTAGAAAATGCACGGCTTCCTATCACAAAAGGCGTATGTTTTAAAGTTGTTCCTAAAAATGCTCCAAAGATTTTTTTATCTGTAAAAAGTATTTATATAAACAATGAACAACAAGTAATATTTATATTTATATGTATTTTTGCGTAGTTGTGTCATTTATCCCTTTTATCAGCTTCCCCTTGCGGCACAATTAAAAATAAGCAAGTGTAGTGGGGTCATAATGCAGGTTTGTTTCAATTCTTTAATTCTCAGCCACCAGGGCGCGCCACTTTAGCGACACACTTTCTACAAGAGTAAGAGCCGTTTCTATATAAGCCCTGTTCTATGGTTCCAAGATCCGGATACGAAACACAGCTCTTTTGACCCGACAGAACCCAGAACATTAGTTCGGGTTTCGGGTTCGAATCTCGGCTCGGATCCACTCGGCCTCGACTGATTGATGAACCGGGTTTGCCAATATTCATAAACGGTATGAAAGCTTTCAAAAATAAATGCAAAGTAGCCATATTTTTCATTTTATTAAATTTAATTCACTTATGCCCACTTGCACCAAACATTTAAGGAAGACTTAAGGTTATGCTTAGCATTAAGTTCGAGCCTAACTTCAAAAATAGATTGCACCAACCGATGACACGATCTTAAGTTCGTCTTTGAAAATCTTAAGTTTAAGGACTCGTTCTCGAGTACTTAAGCATGACTTAGCCTTCTTCCAACCTCACTTCAGTCGCTAGTTAGTCAAATATACAACATACGTATATAAATCTGTAATCATAGTGTCCTATTTTCAAAAAATAACTACCTACGTACATCATGAATTTTGAATTTCAACGTTTTACGAACGCCCTTTCTGACTAATTGAAAAATTCAGAGATGACGGAGTTTCATTTGGCTGTACCCAATCACCATCAAAAGCAGCAAGTGATTGATTTACACCATCCAAGGTCTTATTATTTTTACACCATCCAAGGTCTTATTATTTACAATAGATAATAATATTTTATCTGCATTGCCCCTTGGAACCGAAGGCAAAACTCGTCCGCCACCAGTTTTATAAAGTGTTTTTTTTCTGATTGGAAATGTGCTTCCGGATGTCTTTTTTTGATTATTGTAGAATTTCCTGATTGTTGCGGTCGTACGCGGAATTGTTGTTTAAAAATTAATTATTAACTGTTTTAACAAATAGCATTAAATTCGCCCGTTATTTTCTAGCATGTTGGCGGCTTTTCTTCGGAAGACAGAGCATTTGTTTTTTTTATTTTCGATGACTTGTCAATGATTTTAATGAAACGCGACGAGCTCTAAAAGAGTATATATTTGAGGAGCGCTGAAATTAGTAGACCATTTTTTATTTGCAGCCATTAGTAAAATAAAATTTTAAAAAGATCTCGATTTCGGTTAGAAACAACACAGACATACAGAACTGAACGAAAAATACAGAGTTGCCGGTTATTGCCTGAAGCTTAACTAAGAACACGTGAAAACCGGATGGTGCAACTCATTGAAGCTTAAGTCGGACTTGAATTTTAAGGTATGCTTAGGTAAGGACGTGCTTAGAAGAAGTTTAGTGCAGGTGGGCATTAAGTTTCGAAATAATATGTTAACTAAGTTGTACTACGGTTTCACGCCGCTTTATTTTTATACATATAAAAGATCCGTTAAGATCCGAAACCCGTGTATGGAAAATGGAGTCGGGTCAGTTCCGACCCGCCCATCACTATACGCATATAAACGACAAGCCTTCTTGATAAATTTATACTCACATTAAAGCATATTAAATTGTCTTTCAAACAGCATATTTTTTTTTTGATCTGATGAATACTTAAAAAAATATATCGTTAAAGGGAAAAGTTTACAGTGGGTCAATTTCTAAGCACGCAAGTTTACATATTCATGTTTTATAGGCCAAATATATTTTCGTACCTTCATCACTCGTCGTACTAACCCAACCATCATGACAAAAGCATTCCCCATTTTCAGAAACTTTTCCATAATGACAAATAGCATTAACCATGCTCACTTGGGTATTATCTGTGTTTTCAATGCGTTCCAGATCTCTTTTTGAAATTGGAATGTTGAGATCTCCACATTCGTTATTGTACGGCGAGTATGCTACATCTGGGAAGCATCTTTCGGTTTTCGAGTTGCATATTGGTACCTTCTGACAGCGCTTACATTCAGGGTTAAAATAACTAATTGCACCTGAATATTTCATTAAACAGTCTACAGGATTGCAGTTCTGGTTAAAATTCAAATCGATGGTTTCGCAGTATGATTGACGGTGCTTGCCTGGACATGCCTTGATGCTGTCGAAATGAATGTCCGTGCTAATTTCCCTCTTCTTTAACTGATTGCAATAAATCACATTAACCGAACAAACTCCACGACGATTCAACAAGTAAATATTCGGATAGATGAGAGTCAAGTTTTTCACGTACATCGATGGTAAGATTCCCATGTCGCCTCCAATTAGAGTCATTGAAGTACAGTCTACCTCGTCAGGATTAACGGATTCGCAGCATTGAAGCATGTTGATAGAAAGTTCTAGGTCATCTTTGCAGATATTTTTCACAGTTACGTAGAAAACGATTGCGATATCATCATTTCCCAGAGAATCAATGCCTTGAGCCAGAATCTCGATTTCGGCATTTCCATTTAGAACCAGGTTGACAAATAAAATAAGTCTGAATGCGTAATAACTCATAGAAAAATGTTTTAAAACGACACTGTTGTAATCGTACGTCAATCTACTTATAGGTAAATCACTGGCAGATTTGTTGACATGTTAATGAAACAAAGGTCTGTAAAAATTTTACAAAGCGCATACTTTCGACTAGACTGTATAGAATGGCAAATTTTTGGAGCATTATTATAATAAGTTGTTTGTCCAACGTCAATGTCCGCCAAAATCTGTAAGAAATCGTTGAATATCTTCTGGGAAATGTGGCATACACTCACAATAACGGTAATATAAGATCCACACTGTTTTGTTAATGCCAATACGCCAATCAATAATTTTCATGATGCCGTAACCAAGTTATATAGTTTCAGTTCCACGAAGGACTCCAGTAATTCAACTCTCAAGGGGATTGTGTGTCGAATTGAAATAAATCGAAACCATACATCGGACAATATAATTTTATTACATATCATGTTATACTGTGAAGTGGGAATGAGAGGCAGAGCACACTGGTACGCCTAATCTATTTAGGACATAAACCATATAATCCGGTGAATCATAGGACGCAGTGGTCTACTCACAAGAGCTTGAGCATACCACATTATTATAAACTGATGAAAAAACGACTATAAATATAGTTTTCTACAGCCAACCGTTCTGACTTGACAAGGAAAATATCTGCAGACGGAAAAAATTGGAATCAGGCGGGTTTTGTTCACTTGAAGTAAACCGAAGAGTGGTCCATAAACACAACCTGGATCATACTGAAGGTAACCTGGAGAAAATCGGAACTGACTCTGTCCTGATTCAATCTGTGCAGGCTTATTTAAACCAACAAAATGAGGGTTCCCTGTCATATGGGGTTCCTCTGCCCGATACGCGTGCTTCCGCTGTACATACTTTTTTATCAGCAAAATGGGGTTTCCCTGTACGATACGCGCCCTCCCGCTGTGCCCGATTTTTTTTTATCAGCAGAATGGGGTTCTCCTGTAACTAGGGTTTTCCTTCAGGACAATTTCTACCTTGATATCAATAATTTCTATTCGATTGGTATGGGGTATAGATTTAAAAAATTTACTTTAAAAGGCTAATTTGGTCTATCTTAGATTAATACTCGATAGTACTTATCGAAACAACACAAACACAACACCATTATCAGAAATAGCAGAATAGGCCGTTGTTGAATACCGAAGATTTTGTGTCAGGGGCAACAGAGAGAGATAGCATAATAAGACCGTAACTTGTCTCTGGCAGACCCGTTTTGTTTTACCTGGTCAAACTGCATAAGTTATTATTTTGTAATATTTTATACGGTTTGTGTGTGTTGTAAGTTCAAAAAGATAGATTTCAACAACAATATATGTAAGCGTGTCGAAGTGTGATTATTGTTTCCTGCTTTTTTAAAAATAAGTGTGTGAAAAAAACAAAATTGCGTTAGTCTGATTTATTTAATTACATAATGGTGATCTCTTGTGTTGTTTCTGGATGTAATAATGAGCAGGATTCAAGGCAAACCCCGTTTCATGCGTAAGCTTAAGTAAATCATTATCATATTTTAAAACGTTTCTTTTATTGTTAGAATTTTCCATTTAAACGCCCTGAAATACTAAAATTATAGATGCAGGGACTTTGTAGGGATAATTGGAAGCCGTCAAAAACGAGCATAATTTGTGGACAACATTTCCTTTCAAGTGACTACATCATTAAGCCAGGGTTGACCGCTAATTTGTTAATACCTAATGTTGTACCCAGTGTTTCTTTCCCAAAGTATTTGTTACCAAAAATAACTGTACCTCGTAGAAGAGTATTAAAACAGGTAACTAGAAGATTATTACGGTATTTCCGAACTTTTATGAGTGAATGTCTATTTCCTAAAACTGGTGCTGCTGTGACGCACCAGAGAGAGAGCTTGTGAGGAAAAGCTTGTCCCTTAAATATTTGCAGCAACTGGTTTTTTGGGAAACCTTCAGAAAAAAAATTTTTTTGTTTACCTTATGGCAATAAATGCATTAAAATATGTTCGATGAATTTTATTACAATCCCTTCTATAAACGGCTTTTGTTACAGTTAAAATTCACGGTAATAATGAATTTCGGTTTTGAAAAACTCATCGAAAATGTAAACTTAAAATGTGTTTATGACGATTATTCGTAGAGTCACTCAATAAAATTGTGAGCGGGTAATGGTTCCGATACTTTCAGAATACTGATATGAGCAGTATTGCAAGACGATTTGGTTACTACTCATTTGAGTAAGTACCGATATTTTCAGAATACTCATATGAGTAGTATCGCGAGATGATTTGGTTACTACTCATCTGAGTAAGTATCGATACTTTATCAGTGTCGTATCGTCCCTATCCAATAGTAGTCAAAAATTAAAAATTCACATATAACAGCTTGTAGAGAGACAAAGGGACAAACAACGATAACAGCATAAATAATTATTTGGTTCTTGATTCAAATGCCACCTGAATAAAGATCTAAAGTGATTTCTACTTACCCAACAAAATATCTAACTACTCCAAACTAGCATTAACAAATATTTGATTAAATTGTGGTCGGCGCATCAAAATAAATGAGAACAAATCAATCCATGTAACATACACCATGAGACGAGAATCGTGTCCCCCTGTAACGCTCAACAACCACCAACTACCACAGGCGGAATC